CGTTATTGTCGCGACAATTGCTTTCGGCATGGGTATAGATAAGGCTGATGTGCGCTTTGTTATTCACCACTCAATTCCACAAAGCCTGGAAGGGTACTACCAGGAAACTGGCAGGGCTGGTAGAGATGGCAAGAGATCTGAATGCTATCTTTACTACGCCTACTATGACTCGACTTCCATAGGTTTCATGATCAAGAAAAACAAAGAGGCTACCTATGAACAAAAACAACGTCAACGACAGATGCTGCGTCATGTCACCCAGTTTTGTGAGAACATCACAGATTGCAGGCGTGCTCAAATTCTCGCTTATTTTGATGAAAAGTTTAAACGAGAAGACTGCAACAGGACATGTGATAACTGCAAGTCTGACTTTACATTTGAGATTCGTGATTTTACACAGCATGCTGCTGCTGCTGTACGGCTTGTTGAAAAATTGGAGAGCGCGAAAGTGACTGTTCTAGCCTGCGTGGATGTCTTTAGAGGCTATTCACGCCAGTCAGAGTTCTCTCATCTCCCAGAATTTGGATACGGGAGTGACCTTGAACGCGGCGACGTTGAGCGACTATTTAGACACCTCCTTTATGAAGATGCAGTTGAAGAACACAATGAACCGAACCAGCGGGGATTCGCTGTTCAGCATGTCAGAAGGGGGCGAAATGCGCAACGTTTCAAGAGCGGCCGGCACAAGACGGAGCTCCCAATTCGGATTACTCCTGGGAAGGCACCTACTACAACCCGACGAGCCGATATGAACTTTACTGGCGTTCGAGCTGCAAGAGAGGAACAGCCAGAATCCACTAATGTGTCCTCTCCAATTAGAGGCCCATCTCACTCACGCATACCAAATCGGAGAAGTAACAAGGTGGAGACGGAGAGCGATGATGATACTAAAGACGACAGTGAAGAAGATGATAGTGATGGTTTTGCACCGATTCGTGGTGCAAGAAACTCTGGAAATCTTCCACGATCCCGTCACTCACGGCTAGGCCCCAGAATAACTGATGACGGAAGCCGTTCCGGATTGAGTGATCTTCGTGGAATCGTTCTGGATGAGTTTTTGATGAGGGCAAAATCGAAATGTGAACAGGTATGTTCATTCAATTTTCCGGGGGAAAAACTCCTGATTGATTGACTAATCTCTGGCCGTAGATCAAGATGGAGAAAGGCCTTCGGGAACAGCCGTTTCCTGATGCTATCCTCCAAGAAATGGGCATTCGCCTTCCCTCTAGTATGCTCTTCTTAATATTTACTCTATCAGATAGCCTTACTGACTTGATCAATTAGCTCTGGCTGAACTTTCCCGAATTCATAACATTGATCCTGACAAAGTTGAGCGGTATGGCCCAAAATTCTTGAGGCTCATTGCCAGGTCAAAGAAACACTACGAAGATATGGCGGGATGTCCCGATGGCCAAGAACAAGGCGAAGCCATTCACGACCCCAACCATGAAAACGTTGTTACTATAAGTAGCGACGACGAAATGTATGGTGATTGGACTGAAGATGAACTAAATTACGCAGATGACGCTCAGAACCAGAGCCCCTATTTCCCAGATGACACCGCTCAATCATTCAAGACAAAAGGTTTGTTTATCTTACTACGCCATAAGTACTCGCAGCTTCTAACTTTCAGTTAAAAGTTTCTCAATTCGAGTTCTCTAATAGAGAAGCATCACGGCAACCAAGCCATTCGAAGGCGGATTCCGCGCAACCTCCTAAGCCACGTCAAACCAGTTCTAGGCGTTCTCGTCCCCCTAAATCAGCTCGCGAAACAAACCCTCTGGCGCCAGGTTTAATAAGAAATCTCAACCCCTAGACCCGCAAAAGAAAATCCTCGCCCACTACTTCAGATCTCGAAGTAGCTCT